GCTTTGACAAAAAAACATTTGAGCAGCATCTGTATATTACAATCACCAGTGAGCTTAGAAATATTAACTAATAAAGTTCAGTATGAAATATGTATAATAATTTTCTTTCAGACTCTTAACTATACTTCCAGAATACACAGTGCAAGTTTCCCGTGTTACTGCAGTGGGGAGATTCTCTTTTCAAGGTAAGCCTTCTAAACCTACTACAAAGGAAGGACTTTGGCCTTCATATTAAACTCTGAAAGCACTGAAAAGGTATCCTGCCAGTCTGAACTTTTACCATTTGAATTTATGCCAGTGAACATTGTGGAGCTGTTTTGGATAACTTTGGATTTCTGCATCAACTTGCTCCTGCTTGGCTGCCAAGGTCACTTTATTGAAATAGTAGATACTCAAAACCCCCCTAAAATAAACTGCACAAGATCAGAATGCTCCAACCATGATTAAAGGTAAAAGTTAAACCTGTAGTAAGCCTGAGGAAGCCAAAACCCACAATACTTTCTCATTTTAAAAGTGTAAGCAAGTGTAACTTTTACAAATAAGAACTCTGATTTTAACTAGACATTATCTTGGAAATAAAATAATTCTATTAATTCTTCAGCTAATACTGCAAAGCTTAAGCAATAATTTCAAAAACATGGCAGTTGTTACAGAAACATGCACCAAATATTGTACATTTTTCTCTGTGCTTTCTCATTACTGATCAATCATACTCAGTACAGTTTACTGTTTAATTCCTTCCCCCACATATATACCTGTATTTAAAATACATGAATATATATGAAATTGCATATAGCTTCATTCACAAACTATATATATGGATCTAGGTACATTTTTTATTTTTTTATTTTTTTAAGGTAACCATATTTATAGACAGCCAGTCCATGCCATTCACATCAATTTTAACAGTACATCAACAAACCAGTTTGGGCATTCACGTTATTCATTGCCTTATATCTCTGGGTCAGGATCTGTATTTTTCCAGAGCATAAGACTTTGTGATAATAGGTTTCTGATTCATAAATCAAAGCTACCACGTGCTATCACATTAGAAACATCAACACAAACTCTTTTAGAAACAGTCCTTTTCAGAGAACTTAGCCTTGTGTTTTAGCATTATATTGGTATTTGAGGATCAAGTCATAGAATACCAAAGCCTAGCACCTAGCATACAGATTTGACAATATTTGTCCAATATTAGTACTTCCTTTTACCTAGAGTAAGTAGGTACATCCTTTTACCTAGAGTGGTAAAATCCACTCCTTTTGCTTGTGTGCCAGAAGTCAAATGTATTTGTGAAGATCCACCTGTGTATTAAAGAATACTTCTCCCACATATACCCCCATCCATGCCTACCAGAGTGATGTCCTTGCATAGTGCTTTCTGTACATGGAAGGAGAAAAAAACAATAATAATGATACTTCCAAGACCATTTTAGGAGTGATCTATACCATTAATGAAACAGTTCTGGTCTCTATTTCTCCCACTAGGACCTCTTCTGTACTAGTTAATGTACTCCTTTTCTAACTGACTGTAAAACTACATGTGATTCTGTATGGTCT